TGGGGGGGGGGGGGGGGATGGTTGAAGCCAGTGTCATGCTGCGTCCAGCTGAATGTGCCACCAGGGGCACAGGAAAGTCTGAGCATAGCACAAAGCATTCTCGAACTGAAGAAAAGATTGTACAACCAAGCCAGCACACTGATAGTAATTGCCAGCCTGTAGGTAATTTTCTCCAATAGTCTAGCCTTTCCCTCTTGCACCCAACTCAGCCAGATCTTGCAAAGTAGTAGTTAGGGTGTTTGCAGCAAGATAGAACAACCTTTTCCTCTCTTAATTTCTCTCCCTCTTTTCCACGTTTCACATTCATTTCTGTCTCCTTTCACCTAATTTTTCCATGTCCCCCCCCCCCCCTCTTTTCATAGTCTCAAGACCTTCTCATCCCTATCCTGTTTGGTGATAGAATGTATTTAAGAGTAATAGAGTATCAAACCTTTGTTAATATTATGAACAAAAAGGACTCGGTTTGCTGGGCATTGGTTCTCCTGGGCTCAAGGGTGTAGACTTTCCAATTTCCCGAGGGGGGGCTGGGGCTGGGCCAGAGGCATTGCTTTGCTAGGAGCAAGGGTGGCTCCCGGGGGAGGCTGAGTACCTTCCTGAAAATTTCGGCGGGGGCTGAAGCCCCGCCGCCCCCACGAAGATTACGCCTATGCCTGGGCTTCCAAACCACACACACACACACACACGGCTTGGATTGTGATTCTGTACTTGACATCAGCTGGCATTGCCACAAGGTCACTGGGTTCTGCTAGGCACTCTGTGGTTGCACTTGTACTACTGGGTACTCTGTGCATTGCACTGGCTCTGCTGGGCCTGCAAAAATGCCCCCCCAACCTTCAGTTTCTACTGCAGAGATTCTCTGGTTTGACTTTAGTCCTTTGGAAACAATGGAGGATGGGGGCACCTTCTTTGGGGGAGGGGTAGTGTGTTTCTTACCATGCAGTCTGGTGAAGTTTGTGATCACTATTCTGTGATGCTTTGGCTAGTGTTAGTTAGTAAAAGTTAGTACAAAGGCAGGCTCCTAGCTCTCAAAAAGGCCTTGTAGATGTTTGGCATGGTCAGTTCTTGGCATTCTAAATGGAGAACAGAAGCCCTCCCAAGTGCCTGCTCAGAACACCAGTGGTGTGATGGATCCCCCCCCTTTCAAGTAACAGCTGGTTTATGGCGAGTCATGACCCTGTAGGGTTTTCAACGCGGGAGACCTTCAGAGGTGGTTTGCCATTGCCTGTCTCCGTGTTGGCCCTGCTTAGCTTCTGAGATCTCATGAGATCAGGCTATCCTGGGGCTATCCAGGTCAGGTCTAGGCTGAGAGTAATGTGACTGGCCCAAGGGCACCCAGCAAGCTTCCATGGCACAAGTGGGGATTCGAACCTGGATTTCCCAGATCCCAGTCCAACACTTTTGAGAACTACACCGCATTGGCTCTTGTGATGGAATAGTGTGTTGGAATTTTAGGGTTGTTTTTTTTACTGGCATGATTATATATACAAAGTTAAATACATAAATTCTTTCACTGTCTGCTTTTCCTTTCTGGCCACTGAATACAAAGTTTGGGTCTGTCAGGCTCACCCTTGGGCTCTGGCGCGGCGCCCCCAGTGGCCGTGGCGTCAGTGTTTGCGACCTGAAGCTGGTTGGGGAGACGGTCCTCGGAGCAGCAGGTTCCAAAAAGGGAGAGGGAGTGAGGGGCCTCAGACAGGCAGGGGACAGGGTTAACATCACCCCATGAGTCCCTCTGCCAGTGCGCTGCGGACGTCTTTCTCTCTGAGCCGTCCCTCGTCTTTCTCTCTGTCACAGCCTCACTCCATTCCACAGCGCACTCCTCCTCTCCGGCCTCTTCTCCACCCTGCCTTTTATCTCCCCGTCCCGCTCCCAGGACCGCCCATCTTCCCTCTGACTTTGGCCACGCCCTCCTTTATCCGCCTGGACGCCAGTGGGGCATCTCAGGGGCAAGTGCTGTTGCACCAGGGGTGGCTCTGGCGGCCTTTGGGCCGCATCGCCGCTTTGCAATTGTTCCTGCTGCTTCGTGCTTGCTCTCGGCTCATCAGGGAAGCTGCCACTTTCCTTCTCCTCTTCTGTAGTGTCGTCCCGCGGGCCCCGGTCCCGTCTCCGGGCCCGGCCAACGCAGCATGATGGGTGATGGGCCACTGCTCCTGACTCCCTCCCCGGACCATTGGCATTCGTCCCGCCTGGTGAGGTATGCATAGGGGGCCTCGCAGGGTCTGTCGGGGTCCCCGGCACCTGATCTGTTCATCCCACAACCTCCAGAGCGGGACAAGGTCTAGTGGCAATTTTAAGACCCAACTTTGTTCTGCTTATTCAGACAACTACAGCTCACCCACCTGAATCTATTTTTGGTCATTATTATTATTCATTTTATTTCATGATTATTACTGAAAATAATTTTGTCATATAGAGAAGGGGCTCTGACCTGGATAACCCCATCAGATCTAATGGACTAACAGGAACCACATCGGAAGCATATCATCCATCAAGCAAAAGAGTAACAGCACTTTTCAGGCTAACAGGTGGTATTTCTTGTTACATTTGCTGTTTTGAGCTCACATCTACTGTGTGGAGCCATATCTGGAACCACCCTTCTTCGGTTTAGCCCCTGTGTGATGGTGGTTAGAATGTTGGTCTAGGATATGGGAGACCCTCATTCAAATACCCACTTTGCCATGTAGATCACTGGGTGAACTTGGGCCAGGCACTCTTTCTCAGCCCAACTTGCTTCACAGGAGTGTTGTTGAGGGTAAAACAGTGGGGGGAGAACCAAGCATGCCATCCCAAGCTCTTTAGCAGAAGAGCAGGAAAAAGTACTAGATACTAGACAGGTATGTTTAAGCCCAGAGAGCACAATATACAGGCCATAGCCCAGCAAATGTATGTTGTACAACCCATGGTTGAACTCCTCCCCCCAAAACTTTTCACTGCATCCTACTAGGATGCAATGAAACATTTCTGAGTCTAAGTGGGGAGTGGGTATTCTGATCCCTCCCCATCCGGGAAAACTGCTCTCTATGTCCCTGCTGGGATGCAATGAGGAACATCCGGGTACAGGCAGCCCTGAATGTCCACTCCCAGTTGGAAGGGAGGCAGGAAGGAGCTTCCTGGGAGAGAGACTGGAACACAGAAAGACAGAGTTCAGAATCCTCCTCCAACTACCCCTGCATTCCAGATATTCGACAACACTTGGGGGTGGGAAGCAGAATGCCAGTTCTCAGCTGTTTTTTGGAATAAGAGGTAGTCTTCTGTCTTCCTCTCCCTGAAAGTTC